TGTATCGATCGGTACGGTGGTCTTGGCCGTTTGGCGCGGTACCGTATGGGCTGGTGCCAGCTGGCCAGTATCCCGTACGGTACTGACCATCATGTTTCTTGGCCGCCCCGAGGCAACCACCGCCAGGCTTGCGGTGCGGTCTATCTTTGAGCTGCGCCGCATCGCCGCCGAGGCTGACGCCACGGACTCGAGCCGAGGACTTGTTCCTTTGAGAAACTGAGGGGTGAGGGCAGAGAACAAGCAAGAGGAGGAGGAATCGGAGGGATGAGAACAAGCAGAGCAGCAGGAGAACAAGCAGGAGAGTTGAGGGATGGGTGAGAGGAAAGCGGAGTCGGGGGAATAGGAGGAGGGAAACAGTGCAGAATGATTATATGTACGAAGAGCAGGAGGAGCAGGAGCTGGGAGAGTCGGGGGGGAGGGAGGGCGACGATGATTCTTGCTCAGCAATCCCTTTGGGGCCTGACTTGCGGTAACTATTGGGGTAAACATTGGGGAGCAGGGCCACCACCACAGGTTACATTTAGATCCGATTCGGTATCGGCTTCGGCTGGCCCGATCCGATTCGATTTCGCTGTCCCGTCGATTCGATGCGGCCTGATGCTTGCATGGCGCTGTTGAACATCTGGCGCAGTGCACCGGATCCGATTGCGACGCCGTGCCGATGTAGCTCGAGCCGACGCGCAGTAGTACGACTCGATCCGATCTCACGATTCGATGCTGATTGATCCTGCCCCCCCTGCGCTTTTGCAGTGCTGATCGGCGACTACGAAGGGTTGTGGTTTGCGATCGGCACCGTTGGGGCCTTGGAGGCACGACACCGTCCTCGTCGGGTCTCGAGGCGCGGCGGAGAACTCTATCGAGGTCCCCGCCCGCTCCCAGGGTGCTCTCGAGGGTTCAGGTTGCAAAACACATCCTCTTCGAGTAGGGGAGGGACTACTGAATTGATTTGCCACAAAATCGATTTCCCGCCAAATCTTGGACACAATTCGTATAGTGTCTCGTACATCTGCGGAGAGTCTTCGCGTTTCTCGTGCAGTCGGCGGGAGAATCAGCTCTGGAGCAAATCAACCCTGTAGTCGACCCCCTATTCGACACTTGCGGACCACACCTTTCGGAGTCGCCCAGCTGAACCCCCGCCAGCTCCGCAGCCGGACAGCGGCGGCCCCGGGGCTGCCGGCGCTGAGGCGGGAGGCGGCGGCGCAGATCCTGCCGCGCAGGATGCCCGGTGGGGGGGGGGAAAGTGTTGGTCGGCGGCGAGCGGGGGGAGGGAATCTAGGCCTCCTAGATGGGATCGGAGTAGATGGGGTCGGAGGATCGCGCCGCATCGCCGATGCATCGGCGATGCGGCTCGATGTGGAGCCCGATCTGCTTCACGTCGACGTCGCCGATGCATCGCCGACGTCGACGGCGCATCGCCGACGAATTCCCGATGCATTGCCGATGCATCGCCGATGCGGCGCGATCCTCCGACCCCGTCTAGTCGGACCCCATCTAGGAGGCCTCTGGGGAAGTGAGGAAGAGAAGGCCTTCTCAGAAGGCGCCGCGGCTTCCGAGGAGTGTTCCTATGTCTTCGGTGCAGGCGCAGGGCTCCTCTCGGGAGGCCGGGGGGCTGCCGAGCCTTCTGAGGAGGCCCGCCCCTTCGCACTTCCCTCCCTCGCTCGCCTCCGGGTTGGGTCGGGCGACGAAGTCTATTCAGGAGGGGGAAAAACACACAGACACAATTATTCGTCGATCCCCCAGAAAAAATTGGAAAATATGGGAATTGGGCGGGAAGACAAAAAACCAGAAAATATAAGAAAATATAGGGAATCTTTTTATTTGTGTGTTTTTATTTGTGTGTTCTGGGGCCCCTTCACTATATCCAGACATGCGAGTGTCGTACACAAGTCCGGACGGGCGGTTCTTTGCCGTTTACGGCCCCTGGTGGCTCTTACCAGGCCCCGGGGCCGTCAACAAACGACTCAGGCTGAGAAGCCAGTGCCAGAGGACGGGTCGGGGCTTCCGGGGACCCCGTATTGAAAATATGAGAGCGTCGCCATGTCTGGGTACATACCCACTGCCCCCTGGCCAGGCCTTTCCTGGGCCCAGGAGCTTTGTATGCGCCCTCCTGGCCAAGCCAGGAGGGCGTGGCGCATGCACCACAGCTGGTTTCAAGACGGGCCTGGCCAGGGAGCAGTGGATCTGTATAGATTCCGTCGCCCTATTGGGAGGCCACAAGCGGTGTGGTCCCAGGCATGCTCGCGTCGTGGAAGAATCAGGACGGCAGGTTTTTGGCCGGTTTCGGCCTCGCCTCTGGGGGCCCAGGGCCCAGGACCGTCAAACAAAGTCTCAGGTTGAAACTCCGGTCCCTGGCAAGGTTCGGGACCTTGGGAGACCCCGTGTTGATGAAATCTGGACGTCGCATGTCTGGGGCGACCACACCGTTTGGTGTGTGTGTCAGTGCGGATTCGGGGTCACCGCACGGTTTAGGGATTCGGGTCGTTATCAAAGGACGTCTCGGGCGACTGGGGCCTCCCAAGGTCCCCAAACCCGTGCGGTGACGAACCGCGCGAAGAGGTCGTTGGGGATTCCGAGGTCACCGCGCGACCCGTCACCACGCGGCTGCGGGGGCCCCGATCGTGGATGTCGGGGCGGGCGGAAGCAAGGGGGATCAGACGAAGAGGGGGGGAGGTTGGCGAGGGTGAGCGGCAGAGGCATCCAGGGTCGGGAGGGCCCAGACGTCCTCTCCTCGCAACGTCGGAGATCTGAGGGGATCGAGGCAGAGGTTCGCCAACGTTGCCCGGCCTTGGGGTGCTTCCAAGCAGCTGCGCAGACCCGGGAGGCAGCCGGGGGGCTCCTGCAGGGCCCGTGCGGGGCTGCTTTCCAAGGAAGGCAGGCCCTTGCGGGCCTGCCCTCCTTGGAGGTTCTCGTCGCCACCGTTGGATTCGCCTCGACGTTCTTCGGAAACGGCAAAGAGGGGTGTGATGACTAGGGGGGGGCATATCATGGCGGGGGCCATGATATCTTCCCAGAATTCATGGCGCCTCTTCTGATTTCAATAGGTGTCCCCGCCCCCCCCCCTGGGCCGCGCACACATGCCGCCGGCCACGATTTGCGCCCCCCCCTATCTTGAACGCTCCCCTCTTGGACGCCCCCGAGAGAGTTCCGAGGAGTAGCGGTGTCGGTACCTTTCGGTTTTTCCCAGGGGGGGCAGCGGGGTGCACCCTTTCCGGCGCCTTCTGGACGCGGGGTGGCAGTTGCAGCCCTCGATCGCCCACCGCTTATTGCAAGCCCGTGGATTTCCAACCCCGACCTCCTTGCGTCGCGCAAAAATGCAAAAACACGACGGGAGGTTCTTGCAAGTGTTCGGCCTTTCGGGGGCTCTCACCGAGCCCCGGGACCGTCAGAAGCCGGCCTCAAGATGAGCTGCTGCCCCGGACGGGGTCCAGACCTTTGTGGGAGCCACGTTGAGAGCAAGGACCAGCAGGACGTCGGAGGTACGGGGAGGTCCGAGGCCAATAGTTCTACACCTTGGGGACCGATCTTCCTGGACCCTGAGGGGGCGGCGGATGTGGACCTGCTCGGGGCCCCTGGGGCCCAAACGTAATCATCCATATCCACGGCCCCTATCCAGCAGTGCCAAAGCTTCCTTGCTTGTCTACAGGCCCGCCAAATAATGTTCTAATAACCATTTGTGGCCTGCGCGAAATGTTCTAAGAGCAGTTCTGGCTGAGACCGTCTTGTTTTAACACGTCGGGTTTATGTTCTGAGAACATTGTATGCTTAGCGCCAGCACGTGAATGATCTAGGGAGCGGGGGAGTGCCGCTGGCCCTCTGGGCTCAAGTTCTTCGGCAGGAGGGTTGCTACGCTTTATGGGGCTTCCTGCCCTCCCGTCCTTTCCATCGCTGCAGTCGGCCGCCATACGGGGGGTGGAACTGGTGGCGTTGATGAGGCAGGCCGTGCTCTCGGCGGTGCCTGCCTGCCCGCCAGTCTCGCTGGCGTGCCCGCCTGCGAACTGCTCTTGCCCTTTGGTTTCCTGCCCTGTGCCCGTGTGCGCGGCGCTTCTGGTCAACCTGACCTGCCTTCCGCTGGAGGAATACTCGGGCCTCTCATAGAGGGGGCTCACCTTCGAGTCGGTGTGGGTCTGCTGGGGGCTCGGCGTGGTGGTTGGCGCGGTCACTACCAGCTGGGCGTCGGGTCGCGGTCGCCAGGGCCCGCGCGACAGTACGATCGAGGACAGGGCGCGGCAGCAGGTCGTTTTGTTCCGCCTGAGGAATAGCTCGGCAAGGCGAGTATCTCCGGATTCGGCACGATCTCCCTGGGCCGCCGTTAGCTTGGTGACGAGGGTCAGCCAAGCAGTGTCAATGCTGGTGGCGAAGGTGTCAGCCGATGGGGACCACTACTCAGAGGACACCACTCGCGATGACGTGGCGGAGGTGCGCTTGTCAGGGGCGCAGAGGGGTGACGCCCGCAGGAGTCAACCCGCTCCAGGTGTACCGTTTCAGTCAGCTGCCCACCGACGCTGAGCTGGAACAACTCAAGCGGGACGGTGCCTTGATGGTGGGTGGTGCTCCTGCGCCCCCAGCGGCAGCAGCTGCTGGCGCCGCCCCCCCCCCCGCGGCTGGGGCCGCGGCCGCCCCCGCGGTCCAGCACGTCGGCGAGGCACGAGTGGTCACCCGCGCGGGAGTTCTTGCTCCTGCTGCCGCCGTGGGGCCTGCTGTCTGGTTGGCCACGGAAGACTTCCGAGGTCTGCGCCGCGGAGAGGCTGCCTGACCCCTTGCCGCCGAATGCCGTCATCCAGGGGGACACCGCGCTGGTCCTTGCTGTTGGGGGCTGGGTCACGGGTCGCTTGGAGCCCGCGGCTGAGGCCGACGCCATCGTCATCGACGACCTGTGCGTCCTCCCGGCGCATTTTTGCCAGGAGGACACTCGGCGCCGCCCGTTCCAAATGGCGGTGGATCTCCAGGTGGCAGATGAGCCCAAAAGGGGTTTGATGCTGGATGGGCCGCCCTCGTGCCTCTGGGCGTTCAGGTCGTGGCGCGATGTGCGCGTCACGCCAGTCACGCATCGCGCTAACTGGGTGAGGGCGGGGTGCGCCCCTGAGGGCGACTGCTCGATCCACGGGCACGAAGTCGTCTGCCGCGTGCTGGACGCAATGATCAGCGTGGAC